GCACGGACAATAATCCGCTCCAGTTTTCCTTGTCAGGGTTGTCTACAAAAAAAATAATGGTAAAGGAGATTTGGAACGTCAGATGCACAAAAAGAGCTGCATGTCCGATCCTTCAAATGGGCTTTGACATGAAAACTTGGGGTCTTGAGACATGGTTTCAGATGGAGAGGCTGTTGATGAGATAACGAAGTGAGCAATAGCCAAATGGAATACAGCAAAACACTTTCTGAGTTGTTTCTTTGTTTATCTGGCAATGCTGTACACATCGTTTTGTGTCCGAGCAGAGCGTGGGGGGGGTTATTCATTCTCAGGGCCAGAGAGGGAATGTTTTCAGCTGGGTTTGTATTTTATATATATTTAGGCCAGGTACCAGTGCCCTGGCACTTACCAGCCAGCCAAGTCTGTTGCCACCAACACCAACTTGCTAAGATGGATCTTGGTACAAATAATTGTCATTTCCAAGGACACGAGTTGCAGGTGGGTCACTTGAGTGTTTCCCTCTTGACTGATTGGTCGGAGCAGTTAAAAAAGAGGACACACCTTGGAGGATGCTGAGGGCTAGGGATGAAGGTCATGGTACGATCTGGGATCTCAGACAGGTAAATGACTTCCAGTGCTTTGTTTTCCTGCCCTGGACTTACCACAAAGCAGAGACAAAGAAAGATCATGGGTTTTTTTTACTCTTAGTAACAGATTGAGGGGAAACTGTAATTAGCCAGCAAATAAGGACAGGGCTCATCATCTCCAGTCACGAGCAGGGAACCCTCCCTCTGCAGCGTGCTTGAAGCCTCCCAGCTGGATGGCCGTGCTTGAGGGAGCCAGAGACCTGAACAAATATTGCACTATTTGCTGCCTTGCATAAATGGGTACTGGTGGTGTGGTTGGAGCCCAAGCATCCAGACTCCGGCTGCTCCCGTGAGGATGGCTGGGGTTGGATTACCTTCCCAGCACCACCTCAATACCCCTGCGAGGACTGGCAGGGGGTTGTCCTAAGAGCGGTACAAACACAAAGCTGAAAGGATTAAGGACTGGTTTGTTGTTTGTTTTTTTGTTTTTTTTTTCTTATAGTTGTATAGATACGTGAGGTTCTGAGTTTTCGAGGGGAGTCTAACTGCTTAAGGACTACAGATCCTCCTTTGCAGGGATTTCTAAAAGCACTGAAAAGTGCTTTTGACAATTCTGTTAAAGCACTTAACCTTGGGCAGCTGAGCAGCTTCGGAGATCCACCAGCTGGGTGACCCTTCCCTTAATTTCATCCAGGGATCCTGACAGAGCTAAGGATTGGACTCAGATTTCCCTGTCGATCCACCGCTATGAATGGCTAGGAAGGCTGGATGTAAGTACAAGGGGAGCTGATTAAATAACTCTGATATGAGGGGCTGCCTGCCGAGCTGTGAAGAGCTACATTTCATCAGAGGGATCCATGATGTGCTGTGGAACGCAGTCGCTCTCACAAAAGCAGCCGTTTCGGTTCTGGTGTCAGCTCTGATCACCTGATTCATTTCCAAAGCATCAACAGACCCAAAATAATATCAGCTTCAATACTTTTTTTTTTTTTTTAAATATGTTTTTGAAGGGTTCTGTATCTGAAGTCAATGTAAAAATCCAGACAACCATGGTGAAATATTTAGTCCTGCGCTAAATGGGCATTGATACCTCATTGTGAAAAGGTTTTGATTCGAGTCCAAGCATCCAAGTAGTGTTTACAAACCTAAGCTGCTTTTTTCCTTTTATTAGCAAAAGTTCACCGTATACGATAAAAATGTCAGCAGCTGCCTAATGTAATTTGGTCTTCAAAATCCAAGCCAGAAACTCACTGGTTCGCTAATTGAAATCTAAATTTTTCTTCTTACTCAAGAGTTGCGTTTGCTTTTTGGTGTTACTGCAAATAAGAAAACATTTTTTCTATTGTGTTTCTTTTCTCCTTTCACCTCCAGTAAAATAATAAAAAAAAAAAAATCGAGAAGAGGAAAATATTTACACTGCTAACGCTGATCAATTGATAAACTTATCACATGTCAGCGTGTGAGCAAAGAAACAGTAAATCTGCCGAAACGGTGACAAGTCTGTCATTTGCTCTTGCAGGCCGGGAGTCATGCAAACTCTTAAAGATTAGCAGTGGCCTGATGGGAAATAGTTCTGACTTGTTTGGGAGGACGAAGGTTTAAGCTGATCCGCAGTTCGTGTGTGTGTGTGTGTGTGAAGGCCGGCGGTGCTAATGTGAAGTTTAGTGATCTGAAACTTGTCACACTTAAATACCTGCGGTCTTCCAACAGCTGTTTTGCCATTATCGTCTCTCCACTTTCAGCAATGTTGAATTAAAAATTAAATTGTTTTGAAGTTGCTTGGTTGAATTGTTTGGCAAGGTCTTGGCGTGCTCTCCCTGTCTGATCTTTTACGCAGACCGGCATTTTATGGATGTTATTAAGAAGCAGGTATTTTTAAAAAGATTGGGTCTGCAGGTAGACGCTGTGCTGGCAAAAATCTGGGGGTGCCAAATATGCAAACCCAGGGTACTGTTGGCTCTGGCACTGGATGCGGTGGACATCCCTCTCCTTAGGTTCTCCGAAGCACAAAACACCGAAGGCCAGAGTTTATGGGGTTACTACCCAACATCTGCTCAGAGTTTTGCTCTCTTTGGGCAAAGGGATCTTGTGAAGGATGTTCCTGAAGCTCCTGTCAGCCCATGAGTTGGGGTTGGAGCTGCTCCCCAAAAGCAGCCACCAAGTCCCCATTGGCTGTGCCGGTAATGTTCAGCACAATTTGGACTCATACTCAGCAGGAAAAATTATAATTTTTTTTTTCCAAGGAGCAATCCGATTGGCAGAGGGATAACGAGTAGAGATGAGTGTGTTGACCCTAACACCACCACTAACGGAGTTACCAAATTGTCGTTCAGAAGCCACTGAAACTGGCAACCTCCGACCTTCCCTGTGCAGTCTGGAGTCCGACATCTCCACGGGCTGCCTTCTGTTGTCACTTTGGTACTTGGAGCTACTGGAACGGCTTCGTTTGGGACCTTTTCCTTTAACCGTTGTTATCCAGCCACTTTGAAAGCTTGCTTAAAAGGCTTTAAGGTTTATGCTAGGCTTTTGTCGACATTCAACAAATACAGTGAGTGATAACGCTGATGAAAGGAGCCTGAGCCAGGGATTTGTAAGGCAGCCTGACAAAAGCATTGCAATTAGCTAAAATATATTTACACGTGGAAACTATTGCAAAGCTTCCTACAAGTTGGATTAGATTCCTTCCTTCTTGACTTCTGAGGCTTCATAGTGCTCCAACTTCAGAGAGCCGTTGCAAACTAAGATCCAGCGCCTATTAAGGAACAGCTTATGCCTGTTCTGTGGTCCTTGAAGTGTATGAGACCAGCTAGAACACAGTGGGCACTTGAGCACTGTCCCTTTTATTTGTTTGAACACCGTTTGGGCGTGCGGACCCGGGTGCATTTGCAGCTCATGACTTAAAATAAAAGTATAATTGAAACTTGGCCCAAGGCAGGCTTCATAGTTTATTAAGACAACCCTGGTATAAGGAGTCGGAGACTACTAAATCCGGGTATTTCTTTCTCAAGGGTATTTTAAGTGTCATGATTTCTCAAAAAGGCTTCTATTTTAAAACGATCATATTTCTTTTGCTTTATGAGGAGCTGTACGCTGAAGCCCAAAGTCGTTTTGCTGTGGCTTGTCTGTGATGCTCAGACCTGGTACACACTTGAACAGTGGAAAAGCAGCTGTGCTAGCATTATTTTTATTTCTGGAGGTCAGCTTGGGGGAACCGAAATATGTTCTGCAGACTTTTGGGGTGGGTTTTTTTTTTGGTTGGTTTTTGGTTGTGTTTTTTTTTTGGTTACTCTGCTTACACCGGAAACTCTGAATAGGTATATTTGTCAGCTTTTACAGTAAATTTCTTCTTTCCCATCCCCCCCCCAAACCTGGAGCCAGAAACCGCCGTCCTTCCCCACCCTAATTCTGCACGGAGGGAAATCGGTGTGATGACTGAGGGATAAGACACTACTCAAGAGGTACAGTTCTCCCTCTCACACAATCTGTAGCAGAGCGCGTGTGCTTTGGTGGAGCTGTTGTCATGCAGCACAAAGAACAGCAGCAATGTCGGACTCTGAAGAGCTTTTCGGTAAAGTACAAATAAATAATTTTCAATTCAGTTCAATTTTAATTCAATGGTTGGACTGAATTAAAATTTTCCCAACCTAGATGATTCTGTGTAATTCCCAGATGTAAATAAATCTCTTCTAAGACCAAGAAAGCACCTTTATGATGGTCTTTATTCCAGACATCCCATCAAGTGTTCAGCTCCTCTTCAGGGTTCTCAGTCCAGCTCATACCACAGCACTTCTTAGCGCTGTCTGTTGTTTGCACTCAGATAAATTAATACTAATTAAATTTTAAAAGCAAAATACGCACTGTATTAAAGGCCCTCGTGGATGCTTGTACGCAGAATTAAAGTGACCTTAAATCTCTTTATTAGCTGCATTTCCAAGGCCACAGGATTCATGAGAATTCAATCAAACCAATTTCAAGTCCTATAAAAAATGTCCAAAGAAAGCAAAGATAGATTGGGCAAAGGCTGAAAACTATTATTTTCTTCAGCTTCTATTCTAAAGCGAAGTATTTTCCCAAAATGCACAAAGACAGCAGTTCAACACATAAATGTAGTGGTCTGGTACTAAAAGTATTTATAATGGCCAACCAAGATTCATGACTAAATGGTGTGTAGAGAATCAAAGTTAAGGGTAAAGCAAAGTTGAAGGGAAAGAAATATTTCTTTTTTTTGCAAAAGAAATTAAAGCAGGAATGCTTATTCTGTTAAATATTTTGGGGGGTTAACTTACAATTTCTGTCTTCAGACTCAAGTTTTACTCCCCCACCCCCTCAAGTTGTAGCAGAAACATCTCCGTGTGTGTAATTGCACGTAGCTGGGAGAGACGATCAGGAGTCGAACGATTCATCTTGTTCTGTGATGTGAAGCACAGAACGTAAATCTGAATAAATACTTCTTGGGTGGAATAATATCTTAAGATTTGAGCTGGATATCCACCTGTACTTCATAAAACCAAAGGCCAGTTGGGATCTTTAGGAATGGAAACTTATCAGGTAGCCTGTTTACAAATCAAAGTGCAGTGAAAAGGGGCAGGTAGCCACCGCTGCTATCAGTGGCTTTACAAATACCGGCCCCCCCTGACCTTTGATATCCTATGGCTTCCTTCTGCTATCGATTGCCTCCAAATACTTTATATAAAATATGGGTTGATAATACCGGCTTACGAAGAACTGAGCCTCCTCTACCTCCACGTGTGGCAAGGCTTTGTGAGAGGCTTTTTTGGATGTAAACTTTACTTTTCAAAAGGGCTCAGCCTCTGTGGTTATCAGCTCTGAGATGTGTTGCCAACGTAACTGTCTGCAAAGCCGTATCGTGTCCCGGCTCACCACATTCCAAACCTCCTGGCCGGGCTATGAGCAAAGCTCTGCTTTGAACAGAAACGTGAGGCTTGCCCAGGATGGCACTTAGTGACTCTTACCTGTTCCCAAAGGGATGCATGTCGAACGGGTGATGAGTTGAACAGCTTTCCAAACCAGGATGCTTCTCCAATTTGGGTTGTGTTTATAGCTTGCGTCTAAGTGCAGAATATAATGTATTTCTCTTCAACGTCTAATCTCCACTTTTTAATGTATGTACATGGCCAGCAATTCTGTTGTGTCTTAGGCTAGATGTCCGCTGACCAATCTGTACGGTACGTTGGATATACTCACTCTTTGTCCTTCAGATGTGTGTAGATTGCTGCACTGCAGAGCCGTGGCACCGAAGCAACGTAAAGCAGACACAAGTGAAGTCAGAAGGAATAAAATAAACATGCTATTTTTGTCAGAAGCCTGAAAAAAAAAAATTTTAAAAAAATATCACCATTAACGCACGGAAACCTCCTTGAAGGCAGCAGAACAAAATGTTTAGCCTAGAGAGAGCTTGAGGAAAACCAGCATTTGTGTGTTGCTCTTTGGTTTGTTTTTTGTTTTTTTTTTTTTATTTATTTTGTTTCCCTACGGAGTAAGTTTTGAAGAGGGATGCCCTTTGTCACCTCCTTGCAGAGTGTGTGGCTCACCACCCCTACTCTTATTTCGCTTGTGTATAAAATACACCGTCACAGGGAGGTGGAGGTCTGCTGGTAGCTGTTGCTTTTAGGAATATTATCCTCTGTGTAACAGCAGGAACCCCTTTTCCTTGTACTACATCCTCCCTGCCTTTCATAAAGGTCTAAAGCAATATGCCTAGTTTATTCCACAGAGCATGTTCCTTACACCCTGTGCCTGACAGGACGAGGCTTCTGCAGACCCATAAAACCTGCCAGCACGGCAGGGAAACGCCAGCTCTGCCTTCCAAACCATCCCTGCTGCAAGGCCTGCGCCAGCTCTCCTGCTGTGAATTATGTATGAGTGCTCTGCTGCTGCTGAAAAAAAAAAAAAAAAAAAAGGGGGAAGGGGGCTGAATTTCTTGGTATTGCTGCAGCTATTTAACAGCTGGAGGGAAGTGCCGGTGTCCTTATTTCAGGTTAGGTTGTTTTCTCCATCCATCCGTGTGCTCACAGCATCCAACAAAGGGAGAGGGAAGGGCTGTGCCACCCGCTGTCACATATTGGCCAAAAGGATCATTCGCTAAGGAAAAAATGTTTATGAGTCCAGACTCCAGCCACTTTGACTAGTACAGCCTGCCATGGGGGTTTTGGCTCTGTGCAAAGGACAGGAAAGGAAAATAAATGTCACCTCATTTTTTTTTTTTTTTTCCCCTCAGCTTCTGCTCCCGAACAGCAGCCGCAGCCTCGCCCCTATCAAGGTGTCCGTGTCAAAGAGCCAGTGAAGGAACTATTGAAAAGGAAACGGGGAAATGTTCATAATGCCAGTGCAACGGCAGCTACAACGGTAGGAGAAAAAACAAACACGGGCAGAGAATTCTTCCTCGGTAGCTAAATGATTGACCAGCTCTGGCACCAGCTGTTAACGCTTTGGCAATGAAAGAAACCTTTGCGTCTCTAAAGCATTTTCAAGGCAATACAACCGCTGTCACCTGGAGATACTGTTAAATATATCTTTAGTTTAGGTACAGAGCCTTTAGGGTGCTGAGCATCTTTGATCACCATCGACTTAATGGAAGGGTGAAAGCGCTTTGCACTTGCCAGGATCTAACTCCTGGGAAGAGAAAGTGGCTTGGAAGTTAAGCGTTAAGTTAAGCGAAGTTCAAGAGCACAAAGAGAGATCAGCCAGGGCCATCCTTGGCTATCCGCTTCTTTACCTCTACTTGTTCTCCCAGGAGGAAGCAGACAGGCTCCTCTCTGGAGAGGAATTCCCTCTGCAACACAAGGTTTAAATGAAGTTTAAGGCCCCCTTGAGCCGGAGTTAGCCCGTGGGCAGGGCTGGGGTGTGTGTGTGCTGGAGCATCTAATCAGCTGATAAGAGCTAATGTGATCAGTGCTGCTCCGAGGGGGTTGAATTTAGTGTTTATGGTCTTAATCCCTGGATATTTTTCTCTTCTCTCCTAGGTTGTCTTGCCCCATCAGCCACTTCCTTCCTATTCACCAATGGGTAACGTTTCCCTGGCTTTCTGTTTGTCAGACACGGTGCAGGGAAGGTTATGCTGCACTGGGCTTTAATCCTCTCCTGTTTTTTAGGCCAGCCTTGCATTGATATGGACGTTGCTGCCTCTGCATTGCCTGTCGCAGATGAAGGAGCGCTCTGTTCTGGCTGGATCTCCCAGCCCTCTCCCACATCCTTACAGCCCTTAACTCAGTGGACCACTTACCCTGATTATGTGTCCCACGAAGCCGCCAACTGTCCCTACACAGCAGATATGTACGTCCAGCCGATGTGTCCCAGTTACACGCTGGTGGGACCGTCATCTGTTCTGACTTACACTTCTCAACCGCTGATCACCAATTTTGCAGTAAGTCAAAAATGCCCAGGTATAAATGCCAGCAAACTCCTCACCTTCTAGCAAGAGCCATGGGGAGCGCCAGATGGAATTACTATAATTTATTTAATTACTATAACGTTGTGTGACTTTGCATCCATGGCGCTTGTTCTAGCCCTGTGCTGGACATCGGTAGGGTTTGAGCAGGACAAAAAGTCGTGGTTGCACTGAAATCAGGTGAACTTCACTGCTGTTTCTGCATCTCCCTCCGCTCCTCCAGACTCTCCACGTTATTAACACATAACGCTGTTCTCTGTTGTCCTGGGAAATGAGTCATCTCCCACTGAGTCAGCAGCAGAGCTGACATCGCCCTGAGTTCGTTCAAGTCTGTGAACAGTTATTCACAGGAGGAGGATACTGTTTGCAGCTCGAGAATAATACTGGGGAAGGTTATCTTTACTGTTGTCATCACGTCCAGCTTGAGGAGCTGGATTTGGGGTACCTGAGGAAGCAGAGTTAAAGTAGTGCACGGAGTGGATGCATGTTATAGCCAAAAAATGCTGTTGTCTGAACGAGTACGTAGGACACAGTCCCACTGGAGAGGTCATCAGTATCCAGAGGATTCCTCACTATTTAATGCCAAACTTAAAAACAAACAAAAAAACCCGCGTAAATGGGATTCCAGGAAACACATCTACCGGGTGAAGCGGGAAGAATGAGCTGGGAATAAATTTCTCAAAAATTGCTATTTAAAGATGAAAGAACAAGGCCAAAATAGCACGTTAACAGAGCAGAGAATTTGGTGTCAGGCTGGACACAATCTGTTTGGCGGATCCGCAGAGGATCAGGGCAGAGAATTCTGTTTCACTTGAACTCAAAGCAGTTTATTTTCCTTTTAACGCTTCAGTTCAGATGCTCAAACAGACCCACCAGGCCTGCAAAGGCCCACGCCTGCATCCTCTGGTAAGGAAGGGCTGTCATTCCAAACCCGCCTGCTTGGCTGACGGGGACTGCTCCGGGTGGACTGTCCCGGGGGCCAGGAGAGCTGCCTCCAGCCTTGTGCCTGAGAAGCTGCGCCCGAGCGTTCAGCTCACGAGAGAGACTGGCCAAGGCGGCACTTTGTCACCGCAGGGTGTAACTGTCTCATGGGCTTACCGTGAGGGTGGGAGTGGGAACAGAAAGCTAGAGAGAGCTTGACACGAGTGTGAGCTACTGGCAGCAAGCACCTGGCACACCCACAGCCACCGTTCTCGTGGGAGCCAGCGTGGGAAAACTGTCACGCTCGCTAGAACGCTCTACCCAGCGCGACAGGAAAAGGGATGTTAAAAGTGAGACTGAGCATCCTTCGTCTTGTTCTGTGTCCTCTCCCTACCCCACCTGGCCAGTTGTTTTATTTTGTTTGTCGTTTTTTTTTTTTTTTTTTTTTTTTAACAGCCCCGAAGCACCACCCCCGCTGTCGTGCCCCAGCTCGAGGTGACAGACCAGCAGCCACCTCTCACATACTTCCCATGGGCGCAGCCCCTCTCCGCACTTCCAGCCTCCACTTTGCAGTACCAGCCAGCTTCTTCCACGCTTCCCGGGCCACAGTTTGTACCCTTGCCCATCTCCATCCCTGAACCGGCCCCCCAGGAGCTGGAGGATGCCAGACGAGTCATCGGCACGCTGCCCATTGAGAAGCTGCTTCTAGAAGACGAAGACAATGATACGTATGTTTTAAACCATGCTCTTTCTGTTGAAGGGCTTTAAGGTGCACACCTGGGGCCTGATCCTCACCTACTCAATACTTCACCTTGGCACCACAGTGAGTTTTGAGTACAGAGGAAAAGCAGGCTTGGGGCTGTCTCTTA